CATCAATAACTTTTGCAGTTCTGAATCAAATCACTCGATTTGAAGTGCATTAAAAAGGTGAGCCTTTCCTCTACATTTTTCATTGAGACATCACATCTGTAGCTGGTCTAAAAGAGATCCTACAGTGCTATTCATGCATAACTGTTTGAACGTATGTAGAGTGTTTAAATGACTAGATAGCACCTTACTAACATTATGAAGTGTGAAGGGGAATAGTTCAGCTTTTGAATGAACCAAAAATCGAGTTATTTGGAGCAGAATTGCAAAAGTTATTGAAGTTTTTAGACCACAAAATATTGTCTTCATACTCATGACCCAAATTTCAGGTATTGTTACATGTGAGTTTTTGAGGATTTTCAGTGTTTATTGTTAGTACATAAACCAATATCTGCGTGTAAAATACAAACATACTCATCATGACGCCCCAACATCTAGGAACAAGGTGCATATTTTTTCAGATTTTTAGCTCTCTTCCTGTTGCCTCAGGACTTTTCTATGTCAGTAGTTTTCTTTACTGCCCGGTAAAGATTACATTTGGTGTAGTGTTAGGTGTCTATGCATTCAATCAACAAGCTGGAGGTAAAATAGACTCGACTAAGGATGATATGAATGAAATGGAACTTATGGATATATGTCATGATAATTATGCTCAATGGATGGGTGAACTTTGCATGGGGGCTTTCAAGCAATGAAAACAGGTAGCAATCAAATCAAAGATACCTTCATCTAAAATATAAAATCACAAACAGAAGGAACCGTCTCCCAATTCCAGCTCCAAGACCAGACTCTGCTTCATCTACTGCGCCGCGGCGCCCCGCTTTGCAACAGACACGCCATATTCCCGCCTTGCTATAGCCACCCTCCTCTTCCAGTTCAAATCCCCAACTAAATCCTGCCTCATTTCCTATACTGCACCAAATCACTCCTAACCAACCCCATGATCTCTAGCGTCATGACCCAGTACCTTGATTTGAGATGTCACTCACCTGTGTCTCGCCCCGTCACCGAGTTACATCCAGCCCCATCAACACCCCATCATCAACACAATCAATTGGAGCCGTGCTCAGCTTCCTAGATTCGATTGTCAACTACCAGTGGCTCAGGATGAGCCCCGGGCCCAGCCAAATCGGGGATCCCCGCGGTCCTCCCGGCGGGGGCGGGGGTCGAGCTGACCTAGACAGGGTGCCCATCCCCCAGGGGATCCTCGGTCCCGGGGGTTGTTCTGGCAGGCCAGAAAAAGCAATGGTGCTTGGGGCCCCATGGGGAATGGGCTACTTTCAGACGTGGACAGGCTTTGAATAGCAGTTAAAAAATTGTATGTACAAACTGTGTAGCAAGTCTAATCAAGGACATTAAGCAAAGGGCGAATAAGAGGTACTATCTTCAAACGGTACAAGTGCCCAAAGACCCTATACCAGTCTTTAAGACATACAAGGGCCTCCACTGTACGACAGGAGAGGCGATTTCGTTGGGGACATAAGACTGCCTTCGCCTTACTGAACACCTGTTCAGGAGGGGCACTGGCAGCCAGGATCGCAAGGTAGCACCGTGCCATGCGAGATAAGAGGGGAAACGCTGGAGCTTGACCTTTCCAGTGGAGAAGAATGTCAGCATCAAAGTCCGCGGTTAATTCTCCGAGGTAACCGTTCAGCTCGCCGGTGAATGAACCTTGAGGAGCACAATCACCAAAGATCTCTTCATCCAAGCGACTTCGTTTCTTTGGTCGATGGGCAATGCCGGCACTGGTGGAATCACCACCAGGCACATAAAACCTCTGGCTTTCACGTATGAAGATCTCCTTCAACATGGATGGGGTAATGTCATAATTGGCCAGAAAGTTGGCTGTAGCCTCTTTCTGTATGTCGAAGCTTGAGAAGAGTCAGCAAGTAATTTGATTGAAGATGAGAAAACAGATTTGGTTCAGATGACTGACCTTGAAGTAAGACATTTTGATGTGGGGATCGAGGATGGTGGCGCAAATTGCTGCTCGCTTCTTGATGACTATTCTGAAGTACTTGTCAAGCTTATTGATCATGTCCCGGGCAGCAGGAATGAGCTGATTGTGGTCATACATCCGCTCCACCTATGGTGTTAAAAGTGAACACATCATTAAAACAATGAAAGGTGGGTTATATGTGAATGGAACTTACTCGTTTCAGGTCCTTCATGACACTGATGTACATCGGAATCATGTTGTGCATCGTGGGGAACCTGGTCTTGCACATCTCATTGGTAGCTTCCCCAAGAGGCTCCAGGAAATTGCACATTTGTTCAAGCTGGTCCCATTTGATCTTGGACAGCGCAAATCTTTTGCAATCGCTTTGCTCACAGAAGTTCGCAACAGCACTTCGGAGCCGTAAGACGCGCAGAAACATCATGTAGGTTGAGTTCCATTGGGTCTTGACATCAATCACGAGCGACACAGCCGTCTGTTTAGGTTTTGGCTGGGATTCACGTTGAGGTGGAGATTCATCTTCATCTTTGGGATCCTTGATTATATCTTGCAGTGATGAGTCTTGGAGTTCCGAGTCGTTCTCAAACAAGTGGTGACTCTCTTCATCAAGTGATCGGATTGCTGTAACGGTATCCGCAAAGGCTTCAGAGTGTTGAGGGCTCGATCGTACATATACAACTAGGCCATGTACACGCCGCGTGATAGATAGATCGATGTTGGACCCATCAGGGGGTTGTACAAGGTTAGATACATCCATTGCATTCACCGAAAGCTCTTGCTCATCGGGCTCATCAACTACTCCAAACACCAATAATCCATCACGTGCAGCAAGATCTAATACATGTGCTATACACCCAAAGAGTTGATTCTCTGGGTGAAAGTCTAGGCCAGGATGTGATGCAATCGTCCGAGCCATAGCGGAGTTGGTCGACGCGTTGTCAGCGGTGATGCATGCCAAAGATTTGGTGATTCCGTACTTTTGTAAGTATTCCACAAGGATGGAGCGGAACTTCACTCCAGTATGCTGACCTGATTAGTTAACAACAGGTCAGGACTCAATTTTTTTTATCAAAAAGAAAGCTGAATGTACCTTGGATTTGAGGAAGTCCGATACAGTAATCCTTTAAGACAAAGTCTTCAGTGATCAAATGTACGGTGATGGCCATGAATGCCTTGTTGTTTGGCGAAGTCCAAGCATTGGTGGTGATAGATACATAGTCCGCTTGTTTCAACTCGACTTGAGAAATGTACTCTTGAGTTTGCTCAAACATCTTGTGAATTTGAGCAGAGATCGCATGTCGCTTGAATCGCATACCTTCAGTACTTGGATTACACAACTTCATAAGATTGTGAAAAGCAGGATGTTCCACAATAGCAAATGGAAGGTCCGCATCCGCAATCAAGTACACTATGTGAGTCTTCAAACCCTTGACAGTGAGTTTGTCCTGATTTCAATGGAGTGTGAGTATCTGTGGATTGGAAGTCGTGATACAGATCAGCACTTACGTTGGCTTCAATGGTACCCGATTTGAAAAATGTCCCAATGTTGGCATGTTGACCCTTTTTAGCTGGATCATTTAGTGAATGTTGAGACTGAAGGTGACCAATCATCGACTTGGTACTGGAAGACTTATCCTTCACAATTAGTTTGTTGCATGTCTGCCCGCTAGGCAAGACAACTAGGCATTTAACACTCTTGCCGTCATCCGTCTTTGAAAAGTGACGCCAGACAAAACTGGATTGTGCAGAACTTGAAGTGTCGGGTAGGGAGCTGGATTCTTGTCACATATTTATATATAAGGTGTGTGATGAATGTTGAATCAAGAAGTTTAAAAACAATTAAATAGATGGGGGCAGAGGAAAAAAACCAAGTAGACTCGAGACTCAAGAGGGCATGATTATAGAATCAGATTATTAGGCAATTGTAAGTACAATGCTCGAATCTCCACTAGTTGAGTGGGACTTGATTCATAGCGGAAATGTTGGGTCCTCCTGGCCATATTGAGCTTGAATCAGACCCCTTTGGGTTCAAATCAGATCAGCCCAAGGGTCCTCCTGGCCATATCGAGCATGATCAAGATGGTAGACCCCTTTGGGTTCAAGACCTCGCGGTTACCCCGGGGTATTCGACGGGAATCACCGGGTAACACGGGGATTGCCGGGGAAACCGCCAATCCCTGTGTTACCCGGTGATTCCCGTCAGGGGTCTCAGTCCGGGAGCCGGGCTGGGTCTGTGATCAAAAATTCTTGCCGGGGATTCCGGGGTCGGTTGTCGTTCTGAGCCAAGGGAGAAAATATAGCGGCGGGGACCTGCATTCCCCGCCCCCAAGGCTCGGGGCTCATCCTGACCAGTGGCCTTTCAAGAGCCCGCGTTCCTTGGCTAGCCATCAGCCGTTCCACGCCATCACATGCACCCCATCACCAATTCTCATCCAGCCTCATCAAAACCCCGTCATCAATGTCATCAACTTCAGCCCTGCTCAGCCCACTAGATTCGATTGGCAACTGTCAGTTGGTCACCTAGAGCCCGCGTCCTTGGCTAGTCATCGCCACTTCCACGCCATCACGCCAGCCATTTTTCCGTGTCTCAAATGACCCTCCCGATAACACCTACCTACTCATTGGCTCGCAAAAAAACTACTATTTTTCGCCACACAACTCGCCATTCTCAAAGCCAGGCAGCGCTCTAACGCGCGATTGACTTCCTATCAGCCACGCCAATTTGCAACGTCATACTAGACTCCAATCACTATAAAGTCCCACTCTAATCCTCTAAAATCCACACTGCTCAATCCACTGCCTATCACTCACATCAACTTCACTCTTACCCAAAATTGTATCTCTACTGACCAACTGCCAACCACATAGTTGCTTTTCCACTCCTTAACCATCTCCAGACTCATTCAAGTCTTATTCTTCAATTTCATTAAACAAGCTTATCCTCTAAAATCCACACCGCTTAATCCCCCGCTTATCACTTACATCAACTTCACTCTTACGCAAAAATCGACCATAAGTCCTTCTAGTAACTCAAGCTGTTACCAAAATGTCAAAGACTATGAGTAAGAACATGTCCAATGCGCCCACCAAGAAGTCTCATTCTTTCATGGTTTCCAGCGTATTCAAAGTCTCCGAGATGGTCAGTAGCCCTTTGTCACTACTCTTCAGCATTTAGGGTATACAAAGTTCGTTCTGGAAATTTCCAGACATCTTTTTCCAGAACACCAGAAGCCTCCTGCTCTTCTGGAAAACATGCAGTGTTGGTTATTCTAAGCTTCAGAATACCATAAGTTCAGAAAACACCCAAAAAGAAACTTCTGGTGTTATGGGGAAACACTTCTGGAAATTTCCAGAACCATATTTGTATACCCTAATTATACTAACTCAATGCGTCTGCATACTAGCTCGCTCCCACAGACAATAGGAACTATATGTATCAAGGCACCACTGTTGCCATTACGTGCAGCAGATGGGATGGCGACAACGAACGCGAGTACGATGGTGCCCTTATTGCTTACTGCAGTTCCATGGAGGTCCCCATGAACAACCACTGCTATGCTCTCAAGGCCAAGATGTTACCAAGTCTTGACTCTGCCGACTACAAGCTTTACTTTGAAGCAGATCACAAGATTTTGGTTGGCACATCAGACACGTTCGCTGGCGAACTGCACAACAACACCGCTGCCTCGGGGTTTGGAATCGTGTCTTCACGCCGTGAATTACCAGAACCGGACACTGATGACACCACTCTTGCCTTTGTCATGAGCCACGTCGACTACAATCCTCAAGTAAGTGTTCCTTGACTCACTTTAGCTCGACGTCGGATCAGTTGTTTCATTCTGACCAAATCCTGTGCATTCAGCTTCATGACAACATCAAATTCAAAGTTGAGTACCAGATCCGTCCTACAGTCAAGATGAAGGCCTCCCAAGGCCTCATCCAAGACGGGAAGGAGACGCTGGTACATGGCTTCATCGTAGACTGGGACAATGAGAACAGCTGTTGGATTGTCGAGGCAGGACCCGGATTCTTCTACTTCTCTCTATTGCGTAGCTAATACCTTTCGAAGAACATGTCACCGCGCTTAACGTGGCCAGTGGTCACAAGACCCTCTCCAAGAAGCGTCAGACAACTGGTACCAAAGTTACGCCTACCAGGAGAATTTGTCCTGCTAAGTACGCAGTTTCCATTCATTGTAATTCAGTTCTCAGTAGTTGACAATTCAAGCAGACACGTCAGCACCTCCAGTCCTACTACGTCCTCAACACCAAGTAACACTCCTGCCACTGGGGGAAAAGGGAAGAAGCGTCCACCACCTCCGGCTGAAGATGGCTACTTTGACAATGACGGTAACATCGTCATGAGTCCACCTGAAGTGCCTGAACCTGGTCCAAGCACACCCAAGTGTGCACCTGCAGGGCGTCAAGCCAAGAAGACAAAGGGGAACTAGATGATATTCAGCCTGTTTGTGTAGCTACGGGCCTTACTTCATGTCCAGTTCAGTGTTGCCTGCTAGCTGTATGTCCCTCTCAGCAGTCCAATGTTTGTGTCCTCATTCCCGCGAGACAATTTCATTTGCAATGCACAATACTACTTGGGGATTGCGATTTGTCTATGACTAGCCGAGTCATGTTATAATTTGCTTGAGACACAGCTACGCTGTATGTTTGAACTTGACTGGCCCAGATATGAGTTGCTCAACCTCGCACAGTCCAATTGGGTTCAAATCGTAACTGACTCCCAACTTGGCCAGGACACTGCACACACAACCAGAGACACATTGTCTTTAAATATGTCTTCCTGCTGTTGAAAGAATCTGCCTGCCCACCCTGGTTCCGACTCCTCTGCAAGCACTTGCCACACTTGCCTACCTTGCACACATCCCCTTAAAGATCTCCTCTATACCTCTCAATCTTCTTTCTACATATTACAAGATCTGCACTCATTTTCAGGGTTCATCACATCCCCGGGGCTTCGCATTAAAAAACCTGGTGGGAAAAAGCATCAGCCCCTCCTTTGCCCCCATACTCTCCTTGTTCTTCGGTGTTCTTCCACTGCCTTTGGAAATTGTAGATTAAAGTTGTCGATCATCTCCCTGGCGTTTTTTAAGCTCTCTGTCGGTTCCCATGAATCATCAGCACGCCCAAACCCTTTCCACAAAATTAGATACTCCTCTTTTCTTCCTCTTTTTTGTTTGTCTAAAACTTCTTCTACTTCCCATTCCCCCTCCCCCTCGATTTCAATGGCCGGTGGCGTTTCCTGTCTTCTTTCTTCAATCAAATCCGGTGAGTGTTTCCTTAGTACAGAGAAATGAAATACTGGATGTACTTTACCCATGCTGATTGGTAGTTTTAATTGATAGGCCGATGTCAACACCTTCTTTGTAATATTGAACGGACCCAGCCAACAATGATCTAATTTGGCGCTTGGTCGTGTGGTCGATATATTTTGGCTACTGAGCCATACCTCATCACCCACATTCCATTCAGGAGTTAATTGTACGTGTGCGTCATAATTTCGTTTCATGATGTTTTGAGCTTGAGCTAACGATTCTTTCAGTTTGTCTTGAATCTCGGTGATTTTTTGAAGGTGTTCTTCGACTATCGGTATGCACCTTTCTGTTGACGGGATCCTACCAAATGACAAGCCGTATCCAAGATTTGCTCGGAAGGGGGATACACCTGTTGACGTATGTGTACTATCACTACACCAAATGTAATCTTTACCGGGCGGTAAAGAAAACTACTGACATAGAAAAGTCCTGAGGCAACAGGAAGAGAGCTAAAAATCTGAAAAAATATGCACCTTGTTCCTAGATGTTGGGGCGTCATGATGAGTACTTTTCTGTATTTTACACGCAGATATTGGTTTTTGTACTAACAATAAACGTTGAAAATCATCAAAAACTCACATGTAACAATACCTGAAATTTGGGTCATGAGTATGAAGACAATATTTTGTGGTCTAAAAACTTCAATAACTTTTGCAGTTCTGCTTCAAATAACTCGATTTTTGGTTCATTCAAAAGCTGAACTATTCTCCTTCACACTTCATAATGTTAGTAAGGTGCTATCTAGTCATTTAAACACTCTACATATGTTCAAACAGTTCTGCATGAATAGCTCTGTAGGATCTTTTTTAGACCAGCTACAGATGTGATGTCTCAATGAAAAATGTAGAGGAAAGACTCACCTTTTTAATGCACTTCAAATTGAGTGATTTGATTCAGAACTGCAAAAGCTATTGATGTTTGAAGATTCCAAAATCCTGTCTTCAAAGGCAAGGGCCAAATTTCAGGCATTGTTACAGGTGGGTTTTTGATGATTCTCAGCCTTTATTGTTAGTACATTAACCAATATCTGTGTGTAAAATACAAAAAAATACTCGTCATGACGCCCCAACATCTAGGAACAAGGTGTGTATTTTTTCAGATTTTTAGCTCTCTTCCTGTTGCCTCAGGACTTTTCTATGTCAGTAGTTTTCTTTACCGCCCGGTAAAGATGACATTTTGTGTAGTGTATTATTATACGCAAATTCAGCTAACGGTAAGTATTCCTCCCAATCATCTTGTCTGTACGAAACAAAATGACGAAGATACTGCTCTATAGCTTTATTGACAATCTCCGTCTGCCCATCCGTCTGGGGGTGATAGGCCGTTGACGGGTGGAGTGCAATCCCCAATTGTTTATTCAAGGACTCGGTCAGTTTTGATACGAACACGCTTCCTCGGTCCGATACAATGGTTTCAGGTGAGCCATGCAACTTCCACACTTCCTTCAGCATTAAGGAGGCCAACTCATCTGAAGATATCTCTGTGGTACACGAAATAAAGTGTCCCATTTTCGTGAGTCGATCTACAACAGTGAGGATACAGTTCTTTCCTTTTGATATAGGTAAATTGGTGATAAGATCGTAACTGATATCAGTCCACGGTCCTGCAGGAATAGGTAATTATGGCTCCAGGGATCCAAATGGGAGTTTATTCAAAGATTTCACTCGTAGGCAGGAATCGCATCCGTCTACGAACTTGTTCACGTAAGTCTTCATCGATGGCCAGTGGTATTGTCGTTGCACTAATGTTAATGTCTTCATACGACCCGGGTGTCCCGCTAGGAGGCTTTCATGTCGGCTTCGTAGTATTTCAAGCTTACAAATTTTATTGTTGGGGACTTCAATTAGTCCGTTCTTATAAAGTAAGCCGTCGTGTACCTCGTAACCATCTACTGCCTCTTTCACTTCTTTGCATTGGTTAGTACTAACGGCATTCATTAAACTGTTAATCCTTGGGTCTTGGGGTGACTCTTGTCTAATGCGTTCTAGAATCATATTGTCGGTCCATAAAGGTGTGTCTTTTGTCCTGTCAATGGCATTGATCTCAATTGATTCAGGCAATACTGACTCCATGACGTCTTGTTTGAACCACTCCTCCACATCCTCATCTATGATATCCTCATTTTCAAACCAAGCTTCAATGCTATCCAGATCTGCTTCGAACAAACTCTTGGATAAATTACTCGGTCGTAGCAGGCTGCCGAACGTAAGTTTCTCATCTTGTGTTGGTTCTGGGTCGGGTCTTCGAGACAATGCGTCTGGTTTAGCAGATTCTCGACCTGGCCTAAATTTGATATGGAAATCGAAGCATCCGAGGGTTTCAGCCTATCTTGCCTGCCGCGTGGTGAGTTTTTTGGTCGTCATAAAGCTCGCCAGATTTTTATGATCTGTGTAGACTGTGACCTTGAGCCTATTTGGGTTTCCCTCCAAATAGTGCCTCCACTCTTTGAATGACGCGACAACTGCTAACATCTCTTTGTCGAATATCTCGTAGTTACGTTTGGCTTGTACGAGTGACCTGGATAAGAAGGCCACTGGATGCAATATTCCTTCATCATCATTCTGGGATAGTATAGCACCTAACGCATAATCGGAACAGTCGCACTCAAGTATAAAGGACTTATACAGATCGGCTATCTTTAGGATTGGTGCTGTCGTGAATGACTTCTTTAGGATCTGAAACGCGTCTTCTTGTGGTTTCTTCCAAATGAACGGTGTTTTTTCACAGGTTATGTCATGCAGGGGTCGGGTTACTTTTGAAAATCCCTTAATGAACCGTTGGTAGAAGTTAGCGAATCCTAGGAATCGTTGGATTTGATTTACGTTCTTGGGGGTAGGCCATTCGGTAACAGCTGACACCTTAGTTGGGTCCATTCTTACTTTGTTCTTTGAGATGAGAAGACCTAAATAATCAATTTCTTTTTGTGAAAATTTGCATTTTTCAGGTTTAAGCCAGATGTTGTGCGATTGTAGGATTGCCAGAACTTCTTCAACAACTTTCTCATGATCCACTCCTGCCCGTGTATAGATTAGGAGGTCATCAAGGTAAGCTGCCAAGTCCTTTCCAATCTTTTCTCTTAAGATGTCTGAAATGAAAAATTGAAAAAAACCTGGGGCCCCTGTGGGGCCAAAGGGCATAACTAAAGGTTCGAATTGGCCTCTTTTGCATGTAAACGCTAACTTTTTCTCGTCTCCCTCCTTTAGACGTAAATTATTGTAGCCGTTCCGCATGTCTAGGCATGTGAAGTCTTCCGCGTCGCGTAGGCTATCAATCAGTTCCATGGTTAACAGCAGCGGATACCGGTTTTTGACGGTGAGTGCGTTGAGTTTACGATAGTCAAAACAAGGTCTCAGATTACCGTCCTTTTTTCCGGTAAACAAGACAGGGGCTGCCCAAGGTGATGTGGTTTGGCAAATTGTACCTTTCTGCAAGCCTTCATCAATCATTGCATCCAGAGCAACTTCTTCAGCTGGCGATAGGGGTATCACTTTACTAGCTTGGGGTGTCGCGCCGGGGATCAAATCTACTCGAAAATCATATTTTTGATGTGGAGGTAACGTCATTGCTTTCGTCTTTCTGAACATGTTGATGTACCTGTGGTATCGGGTTGGTACTAGCTCTTCTGCTGATTTCTCGACTTTGTTTTTGGATGCATCAGCAGCTAGTTTTGCCGATATGTTCCATGATGCGCTGGCGGCTGACACTGTAGGTACATAACTATTCCCGGGGCAATAAAGCTTGTCATCTGGATTAAACACTGGGAATTTAGGCAAGTCGAACTTACATTGCGGGGGCTTAATCTCCTGAAGTAAGAGAGCCCCCTCGCCAATATTCCTAGCATTCCCTTTCAGTACGCTAACGTCCTTCAGGGTGTTTTTCGGATTAGGCGACATCACAGGCTTCTCCTGCTCTGTGGTGGCAATGCTGTCCTGGTCGATTGGCGGCTTGGTCGTGGTCGTATCATCCAACAACTGTTGTCGAAGATGTGGGTGCTTGTCATCCGGGATAATAACTGATGGGTAAGAATTTGTATTGCACTCACCTTGCGGGGGTTTAACGTTAGCAAGGCTAACAACCCCCTCGTCACTTTCCCTAGCATTCCCCATCCAAGCACTGTGGCAATCCGGGGTGGTCTTTGGGCTGGACAATGCCACGTAGGTGGCAGTGGGTTGATCCACAGTCAATCAATGCTCGCGTGGGGGTCAATTTGGAGGTAGGGGACGTGGCACAAGGGGACTCTGATAGGGAAATGGAGGTGAAAACACGTGGGTCTGAGCCCTGAATTTCATGATTACGAACTGCATCCATCTCTCCTAGTGAGTCTATCCTGCCTAGGCCCGGGGGTGGCACGTCCGTCACTCCCGAGCGTCTCCATTTTTTGATGTGTCGGCCGCTGATGAACTTCCTCTCCCCACCCTATCCCCTTCCAACGCAGCAATCTTTGCCTCCAACTCAGCAATCTTCCCTCTCCCCTCCCCATTCATTCGTCCCTTCCCTTTACACCACTTGACAGTATGACCTGATTTCCCACATTGGAAACACAATCTCTCCCCTACTCGCCTCCTATACTCCTTGTTGGAAATGTCAAATCGGGCCGAAGAGATGTCCATAGCATCCAATGGAGTCGATCATACTGGGGGTTTGTAGGTGATCGATTCGCCTCTAAGTTCACCATAAATAGCACAAGCAAGGCGCGTGATATCTTCAAGCCGATCAAATTGTTCACGTATCATTGCAACACGGACGTCGGTTCGAAGGCCTTGGCGGTAATGACTGATCAGGGTGCTCAACTCCCATCCAGTAGCAGGTGCAAGTTGGTTAAACTGAATCGTATAATCGGCCGCTGACTTAGTTTGTTTCAAACACTACACAAAATGTCATCTTTACCGGGCGGTAAAGAAAACTACTGACATAGAAAAGTCCTGAGGCAACAGGAAGAGAGCTAAAAATCTGAAACAATATGCACCTTGTTCCTAGATGTTGGGGCGTCATGACAAGTATTTTTTTGTATTTTACACACAGATATTGGTTAATGTACTAACAATAAAGGCTGAGAATCATCAAAAACCCACCTGTAACAATACCTGAAATTTGGCCCTTGACTTTGAAGACAGGATTTTTGAATCTTCAAACATCAATAACTTTTGCAGTTCTGAATCAAATCACTCGATTTACAGTGCATTAAGAAGGTGAGCCTTCCCTCTACATTTTTCATTGTGACATCACATATGTAGCTGGTCTAAAAAAGATCCTACAGAGCTATTCATGCAGAACTGTTTGAACATATGTAGAGTGTTTAAATGACTAGATAGCACCTTACTAACATTATGAAGTGTGAAGGAAAATAGTTCAGCTTTTGAATGAACCAAAAATTGAGTTATTTGGAGCAGAATTGCAAAAGTTATTGAAGTTTTTAGACCACAAAATATTGTCTTCATACTCATGACCCATAGTTCAGGTATTGTTACATGTGAGTTTTTGATGATTTTCAGCATTTATTGTTAGTACATAAACCAATATCTGCCTGTAAAATACAAAAAAATACTCATCATGACGCCCCAACATCTAGGAACAAGGTGCATATTTTTTCAGATTTTTAGCTCTCTTCCTGTTGCCTCAGGACTTTTCTATGTCAGTAGTTTTCTTTACCGCCCGGTAAAGATTACATTTGGTGTAGTGAAAGCCCGTAGGGCTTTTTCGGCGCGTTGTTGTCGGTCGGAGTCAAAGAATATGGCTTGGAAGGCCTCAGTGAACTCGACAAAAGTGACAGGGTTCTCCGGGTCTGGGTGCAAGGCTCAACAAAGATAAGGCTGCGCCCACTGGATCGCATTGCCTCCTAAGTACGAGAGGGCAAACATCACCTTCGTAACATCATTCGTGAACAAACTGGCATTCACTGCAACATAGAGTCCCACCTGACTTGCAAAGGCTTCTGCTGCAGCCCCTCGAGTACCGGTAAATTGTTCCGGTCGAGCGACTTGGATACAGGTGTCGCCGACAGCAGGTGCATGGTTAGTGGTTGGGGTCGGTTGGGCAGACGGAGGAGCGGTCGTGGTGGTAGCAGCAGCCGGGGGTGCTGCACGAGATGCTTCAGCCTCAGCCCAACGGGCTTCGGCAGCTTGCCGAAGGGCCGTCTCTTCGGTAAGTCGGGTGTTAAGATCGGCCATCTGTCAATATAGGTTTGCGACTTCCTCTGCGGTTGTCATCGATGCTGAATCAGGCTCTTCAACTAGGACTTTGTGCCATGTGTCGTCTTCTGCCGACGTAAGGTCGTCTTGCGGGAGTCGAAAGGAAGGGGGGATGGTTGATTGTGGAGGGTTGTCTTCTTTTAAAGGTGTCTTTCAATATTCTTAAATGATCTATTCTTTCTTTCTCCTTATAATTTTAGTTTCTTCTTTATTTTAATGTTTCTGTCTAAAAAAATTTCTTCTTGAGTTCTTCTTTCTTTCTTTATTTTGTCTTTCTTGTAATCTTCTTTTCCTCTTGATGTGTCGTAGGTTAGATGCTACAATATGTTATGACCGGGGTTGGTCTCTTGGAGGGGGACAGATAGCAAGAGGAGGGTAATGACTACGTAGTATTGTTATTGTAGCATAGAGAACAATGTGAGTGAAAAGCTCTGCTCTATGGGAGCGCGGCTGGCATGTCTCACATGTCACACATCGTGACAGCTCCATGATCCTATGTAATGGATCATAACACTTAGCACGATTCCACACTGATATACCATACGATGTTAGGCATTCTGACAACCATTGTGCGACCTGCGGAGCACTCCACTGGAAGCTCAAACGTACGCAACAAACCGTGGCGGCCGCGACTGCGAGCTACTCAACTTGCTGCCAGCAAGGGGCTGTAGCATTGCCAAGCAATCATTTGCAAGACGGCCTGATGCCGGGATTTCTTCGCCATCTCTTCACAGATCAAGACAGAAGTGAGTAGTAAACTGATCAGAAAGCTTCTCAACTCTGACGCTTCCTTGTTAGTTTCAAAAAAATTTAGGCGCAACATCCGCACATTCAACAATGCGGTTTCATTCACTTCAACCGCAGCAAAACAAGACAAGACCGTTGCCGGAAATGGAGGTGCTTGGACTTACAGGATTAAGGGCTCCCTAACTCACCTCATTGGCTCGCTACTTCCGCTTCCTGGAGCAAGTAAGACATTTAAGCTGAAGAGGAATTAGCACTAAGAAAACCAACCAACTCAGGAATGAACATCCAAACGTTAGCCACAATACAAGCATACCTGTACCACAACAATCCTTTTGCCAAGCTTTATAAAGCTGCGGAGGCAATCCTAGGCCCTGGACCGGCGAAGACTATCAAGATCAAGTCACTTCAGCTACATGGTCGTGACTCAAACGGTTACAACTACCCAACGTGCAGCCAAGTGGCTGCGATCCTTCTGGGTGATGGTATGGTTGGTTCAAAGGATCAAGACATCATTGTGCATTGACAATCCGGTGAATTGCAGCGGATTTCGGAGTTGAATACAAACTACTTTTCGCTTCAATATCCCATCTTCTTCATGTATGGATCTCATGGATGGAACAAACACTACAGGCATTTCACGGAGAAACGTGAGTTGACTGGAATACTAGCCAATTGCCTTGATATTGACGGGTAATTTGTTTAGGTGTCTACCTGCACCGGCTCCTAAGCCTGCATCAGCTCCAAACTCAGCACCAGCTCCTAGGCCAGCACCTGCTCTGAGACCAGCACCTGTTCCGAAGCCAACGCCTGCTCCAACACCAGCACCAGCGTTGAGACCTGCACCAGGGAATCCACCTAGACCAACGCCTTGACCAAGTCCTGCACCAGCATTGAAACCAGCGCCTACCCCAACACCACCCCCAAGTTGTGGAAAGGCCACAGTGCTCGAATGGTTTGCATACACACTTTTCTTGCGAGCGAACATCTTTTCCGCGGTTTTAAGAGGTGGCAGGTTGTTCCCAGAATACTTAGTGGACATGTATGTATGTGTGGAAAATGCCAGGCTTAAATTTATCTCAAAGAATCAACCTAAACTCAGAGCAGAGCTTTACAATGGAGCAACGGAAGCTTTGAACAACCAAGACTTGACAATTGGGTGCAATATAATATTGCCAGCGATGTTTATTGGTGGTCCGCGACACATGCATCAACTCTATCAAGATGCAATGGCTTTGGTCAAAGCGTTTGGTCGACCAAGTTTATTCATCACTATGACCGCGAATACTCACTGGGACAAAATTACTTGGACTCTATTCAAGGGTCAATTAGCGGAAGACCGCCCCGATTTAGTAGCAGGGGTGTACCAGATGAAGTTAAGGGAGCTTCATCGTGATATCATGAAGCATGGGAGGCTAGGTGTCTGCATTTCCGACGTCCACACAGTTGAATTTCAGAAACGTGGGTCCCCACATACACACAACATATTGATTCTCGATAAAGCCTCAACGCCAAAGACACCAGACGATGTCGATCTGCTTGTACGTGCAACAATCCCCGATCAAGACGAGAAGCCATTGTTGTATTTGCTTGTGACAGAATACATGGTTCATGGGCCATGTGGAGAGGGGAAAAGCTGCTGGAATGGAAATAAGTGCAAGTATGGATTCCCTCAGCCATTTGAAGAAACAACTGTCATGACGGAGGGCGCGTACCCTAGGTACAGGAGGCCGGACAACGGAGTGTCCTTTCAGAAAAACGGCAACATTGTACCTTACAACCCATTTCTATTGCTCAAATTCCGCCGTCATATGAACGTCGAAATTGCCGTGAGCATGAAGGCAGTCAAATACTTGTACAAATACATTGCCGAGGGCCATGAACGGCAGGACTTGAGCCTACTGATTATGTAGATGCTTGGTTCCTCAGAGCCGCGGAAGGTAAGCCTCATTCTCTCAAAGCTATGTAAGGCATGCAGAATCTGACTTCTGCTTCAGCGGCTTGTAGGCTGCTAAAGTACACACTCTCTGGACGTCATCCAGCTATAACCCAACTGTAACTCCATGATGAGCAGAATCAAATGGTTTACTTTCGTAATCGCAATTCACTCCGTGCGGCACTAGATTCCGGTTGGGCAACAAGAGCGACTCTCTCAGAATATATGAGACTTTGCGCGGAGAACTTCAAGATAGATCAAACAGTCCTGTCAACTCGCGCGCTACTGTACACGGAAATGACGAAATTTTTTTTGGTGGAATAAGTCTGAAAAGGAATGTTCCAGAAGGGTGAAGGACTCGGCGACAGTTGCATGTCTTTACTTTGCCAAGCCGGGCCATGGAGACCTCTATTACCTCCGGCTTCTCTTGACAACATTACGGGGTGCAAAATCATTCCAAGACCTGAACACAGTTAATGGTGTCCGATATGCCACTTATGGAGGAGCAGCAAACGCTCGTGGACTGTTATTAAGTGATGCACATTACGACGCATGTCTCACTGAAGCCGCTTTGTTCAAGACAGGGGGTCAACTACGCGACATGTTTGCACTGATCCTCGTGCATAGCCCAACGGGCAACCCTCAGGATTTGTGGGACACACACCTAGATGATCTCATTGACAACTGCGAGTATAGGTTGGCACTGACTCAACCGCTGATGACTCCAACAGATACCCAGCTGGAGCACTTTGGTCTTTTGCTCTTGGAGTCGACACTGGTTGACATGGGCTCCTCCCTCGATTCTGTTGGGCTGCATTCAGTTGATTGGATGCTATTGCGTTTGATAGGTGTAAACCAAGAAGACAACTCATTTGACGGGGTCCGCGTAGAGGAGAGTGAAGCATTTCTGTGTGACGCGTGGCCTAAGCTGAACTCAGAGCAGAGAGCTGTGTACAACACAGTTGAAGATAGGGTCATGACGAATTCCAGGGGTGTCATGTTTGTGAATGGACCTGGGGGCTGTGGGAAAACCTTCCTGCTGAACGCATGCTTACACTATTGTAATGCTAACAACATTTTATTTGTTTCAGTCGCTTTGTTGGGTATTGCTGCGCTTCTGTTGCTGGAAGGAGCCATGGCACACTCTGCACTCAAGATCCCTTTAAACACAAATGAGGAATCGACCTGCCCCTTTTCGCCTTCAACTACTGTCGGACAACACCTCTTGTCAACATGTTTCATTGTTTGGGACAAAATTTCAATGATGAGCAAACACTCAATTGAGTGTGTAGACAGATTGCTAAGGGACTTGAGAAATGTGGACGAAGCATTCGGAGGTATCACCGTTTTGTTCTCTGGCGACTTCAGGCAAATCTGGCCAGTGATACCGCACGGGAGCGTCATGGACGCAGTCAGGGCATGCCTCAAGTTTTTGTACCTCTGGGAAGAGACTGAAGAATTCAGACTCACAATCAACATGCGGCTAAGTCAGACGGGGGGCAAGATGGTGTGGCGTCTAATAATAAACAATTCGGGAAGTGGTTGCTTAGGCTAGGGTTGGGGGAGTTACAAGTGCTTGCGCAGGAGAAGGTTGCGCTGGAGCATGTGGACTGCTCAGGTGTCAAGCCGGGGAGTAGCCTTGGCGCGTCAAGCATTCAAAACTTCTACTCGTCAGCAAACAACATGATTTGGCAAGGGGTGTGGGACCAATTAGGCGTTTACTACAGTGGAAGAGCGATCATTACGCCCCTGAATCAGACAGTTGACAGGCTCAATGCTTCTATACGCGATTCTATCGAGGGAGTACTCAGGAGTTACGAGTCAATAGATCATATCGATGAAGAAAACGAAGAGCACGTCACGGCAGACATCCTGAATAGTTTCGACCTTCCAGGGTTCCCACATCATACACTCAAACTCAAGGTGGGATGTGTTGTCATCTTACTTAGGAATCTGAATTTAGCTACTGGCCAATATAACGGCACAAGACTGTTGATCACTGCGGCGTCTGATCATGCATTACAGTGCTTAATTGTGAATGGTGCGAAAAGTGGAATAAGTATTTCCTTACCAATGATGGCACTCCACCACCCTGGTAATGAAGCAGCTCCTATATCTTTCTATTGCTTTCAGTTCCTTATTGCACTGGCCTTTGCTTTGACAATCAACAAGTCGCAAGGGCAGACTCTCAGCGATGTTTGTCTGGTTTTGCCAACCCCCGTGTTTGCACACGGTCAATTGTATGTAGGCTTGTCCAGATGCACTTCAGCTGCGGGCACAAGTGTAGTCGTGACTGAAGCGGAGCAGGCGCTTAAGACAGTGAATGTAGTCTATTGGGGGTTGCTCCAAGAGTCTTGAAATCTTTTTTCATCTTGTAATTGTTGTAACAGTGTAATTAGAATTGGATTTGTGTACTACGTGGAACCAGGCCGCACCATGGAAATTCATGATCAACTGAGAATAATTAGGACCTAGATGTGCAAGTGAGTCAATTAGGAGCACGAGTCTTGTATGCCAAGCTTCCCAAATTCCAATACTTTGCTTGACAAGATTCCTCGCATACGCAAAGGGAATAAGCTAAGTATTGACAACATCTGCATGCGCTGCACGTACGTAAAGAGCCTGTTGAATGTGAATAAGTGGAGGGGATAGGTATTTGAGGGCTAGTACTTCTACTCACACAAATTGACCATGACGCGGGGCCAAGTCCGTATGAAGTGATAGATCCCAATACGGAGAGAACCGAGCCTTTTTGAAAGTTCCCTCGGGGGAACTGGTCATGAACCAAAGACTTACTATGTATTGGATAGTGAAGCGGTAGCGCCAGCGTTCCTATAGAAGACGTCAGAACTGCTCCTAGACAATGGGAGTTCACGACTGACATTAGGCTCATAATCACGGTGTTCCATGAGGGCGTCCCAGTGGGATTTGTTGTTGGAGAGGTTGCAGGAGGTGACTCTCCCAAGAGACAAGACACTCATGCTGTTGATCTGACTCGTGTTCATTTCGGCGGTGGTAGAAGTTTCAACGTATTGAGTCGGGTTGACATCTAAGACGGGTTCACAAGGATATGGCAACGGAATGAGATTGCCGCGGAGGGCGAAGTTTAGGTCCACGTCAAGGATGTATTGTCCAAAAGGCTTGCAAAAAATGAGCGGTGTTTTGCTTGATGAGGATGGAGAGTTGACAAGGTGCATCCAGAAGTGTCTGGCGTAGTAGTGACGACGAGGGGGAGTCTCTTCAACCTGAAAATCAGTCAGTCCGTGTCGAGGTATAGTAATGGTTCGACAAACCATGTCTCCCAATGTAAAAGTACCGTCCAACGTTACAGTTAAGCGAGGATCCGCGTGAGCCATTGTAGGGGGAGTCAAAACTCGATAAAGTTGAGAAACGAGACTGGGGGACAGCTTGACTGGGAAAAAGTGGGTGTCTTTCTGAGGGTTGCAGGGTTACAAGCAGGAGGAATCCCTGGGGATGAGGCCGGAGTTGAGGGGTGACACAAGGTATTTCAAATTAGACGCACGTGGGGGAATTGTGTGTCAAGTAATATGACGGCTGGGGAGAAGTGTCACATTTGACCATGCGCAGGGCAGCAGGGAGTAATGGTCTTGGATTGACTGTGAACTGCATGTAGCCATGAAGTGAAGAGCATGGAGAGGTTGGCAGATGACAAGGGGATAGGCCTAAGTCTCAGATTTGACCACGCAAGACACAGGCACGAGGAGTGAAGCAAATGAAATATCTTGATTAAACAAATTTTGACAAGGATAAATGTGAAACTGTAGTGTACAAAGAGTGAGAAAAATGCGCAGGAAGTGAAGCATTGTCTTTGTGGCAATTATGACCTATCCAATAGGGACCATCAAATTCATTCCGGAGAGGTTTGGATACAACCAGAGCGAATTCTGCATGGGTTGCGAATTACGGATTGGAAACATGGTGAGTCAGGTACAGCACTATCTGGTGGGTTCAAGTGTGAGACTCACATGCGAGGGTAAGTGTCGCCAGTGGGGTGACCTTGACTGCCAATGATGCTGACGTGTGGAAGGCCGCGCCATTGGTACTCAATAGCAACGTGGACTGCGCTGCAATTATCCTGGGAGTGGTAAGTGTAACAGTTAGGGGAAGATTGGGAGCAATGAGTTTGTGAAGTAGATGTCCCAAGTTGTTGCTGTGGAGGTCAAAGAAGAAGTCAATGGAAGGAGGCTAAGAAATCCAGTGAGAATCGGCAGAGACATACCATGGCCGCGTTGGTTGACATAGTGATGGGCGGAGGTGTCTGCTTTGTTAGTAGTGAAGATAATGGGAATAGGCCCGCTTGAGTTGTAAGAACACAACTTTATTTGGTTCAACAGAAAGTTGTTTCTGCGTGTGTGTTGCAAGGCTGGACAGGCAAGACAAGCTGGAGATAAGCGGTGAGAAAGAGGGGCAATATTGCTATCAAGGCTGGGGAGCCAAGAGTGATCAGGGGCTGGACTGGTATCAAGCCAGGCTAAGGAATGAAATTTGGAGTCAGACTGGGGTGATTGAGGGAGAAGATGAGTGAGTTTCTGGCGCAAATGACATGGAGTTCTTACTGTGTGCAAGTAAGGTGGCAAAGCAGGGAGGGAACTCCTATGTTGTGAAGAATCTTCTTGAGTCGCCCAAGGGGGTTGGGTCAAGAGTTGAGTGGGTGGCGGTGTGTCTGGACTAGACAGGGTGGTTCAGTCAAAAGAGGTGTCTTGCGTTGTCCGGGATGGGCTGTTAGGCAAGACCAAGTCTTGCTTGAATTGCTTTGGTGGGACTGAAGTCACAACCGTTTGTGTCCGCGTTGCAGGTAGTAGTTTGAGAAAGTTTTGTCTTGTCTTGTTAGGCTTGAAGTTCTCGAATAGAGTGTTGGAGTTATGCCAAAGGGGCCAATTGCGAACTAGACTGAAAGGGCCAGTGAGTCCAGTTGATTTTGAAACGCTGCTGCATGTTTGGACATTAGTAGACTTGGTCGCAGTGAGGTCAGCAAGGCGGGCTCATGTGGCATGGCGATCCTTGTTTATATAAGAGACCCTTCGATGGATGGGTCAACGAGCATAAATTCTGGACATCATTATCAATCAAGTTGTTATTGCTTTATCTTCACATAATCATCTGTCATATACAATTGAAACAAAATGGAGGACATCAACTTGAGACTTGGTTGGGGGTTCAGCAGCGTATTCTACCTGGGACCACAAGTAAGTGGAACGATCTTGACGTGAATTTCGTTGGCTGACATGTGAGTACAGTTGATTTGCAACCGTGACGGGGGAGGCAGGTTTAGACTCCACGAAGCGAACATATTTATGAGGCAAGCGCGTTTCGATATCTGTGGAATAGTAATTGCCGGCCAGTCTAGCAGGAGTACTTTGCAATTGTCACGTACCTATACGATCCAAGGTCCGGTGTCACAAGGTCTAGATGGGAGAACTACCCTGTTTGAAGAAGTGTCGAATACCATACGTCTGGACAACGCAGACGTGGCGCCGGTTGCTTTGCTCAACAAAGTGGCAACTGAGGGAACTGGGAAGGCCTGCGCTGCAAGGAGCCCATTGGGATGAAATCTGCGTAGTCAAACATTGCGTCTGGAACACTTTGGTTAGTTTTGCAGGACTCTATGTGGTGATTGCATTGACTGACTATTGTATTGCAGGAGTCAAGGACCGTGGATTTTGTAGTAGTGTACATCCTGGAGCCCAACCTCACATGCACGCTCCCAATGGACCTGCTCGATGTGAACGATATTGTTAATTTGCGCGGGAACATCGTCGGCTTCAACATCGAGAGGAACACGTGGCAAGTGGAGGTACACATTTTTACTTACGATGATGGTAGTGTGCCCCTGGATGGAGCTGACAAAGTGTTTCCAGGTGACAAGTTTCAGGCGTGTTGCGCAAAGGAGTAGGGTCAGGCAAAGTAAAAGACAGCTGGGATTGGTAGCCGGGACGTGCGGCGGGGCCGGGAGAAGGCAACTTGGGATTTGAACATGGGGAGACGGATGCGGCATGACTGGTCATGACTTGATTGTCTATAGTGTATTGTAGTTCATGTAATGCATAGTGTTAATATTCGTGCTTATGCGTGCTCGATGACTTGCGCGGTTGTCGTGAGGCGCACAATGAAGAGTTAAAACATGTTGTGTCCAAGGGGCGGCAAAGCCGCCCAATACCTCGTTTAAGATTATTGTGTAACAAGCGTGTCATGATACATGAATACTGACTTTGGGTATGTGAATCCGCTTGCGTGGAGATCATAGCGGGACATTGATTGGAAAAGTCCCATGAGGCCGTTCTTTGTCATTATGAAGTATGTGAGTCATTATCAGTGGTAACACGCGCACATTGCGGTGTATGAAATTCTAAAGGCCTTGTCATAGAGGGTGGTCGCTGCTTTGAAAACATAGAAACAAATGAAACAAATATAGTTATGTCAGACAATTGCGAGTGGCATGAAAGATGGAAGATAATGACGTGTCAAGTGGCAGGGTATCTGCTGTCCAGCAGTTAACCAAAAGTGGCCTAAGTTTGTTCAATAATTCTGCAAAGTTGATTTGTTGGTGTCTTTGATTGACACCCCGAGTCGCACATAAAGGATTTCAGGATACCTTGATGGCGGATGGAAATACCGGAGGGTAAACCAGTCTTGCTGTCACGATTACGGAGACAGTGTGATAAAGCTGGGTTTGTTGAGTTGCATGATGGATTTGGAGATTGCCAATGGATTCCGCGAAATAGCATACCATAGCATAAGGATGGCTGTGTGCAGGTGCATCAAAAGACGCAAGCAGGGATCATGTGGGATGGTATGATGCTTGACATTTGGGGTGTTGTGCAATTAACTGGTCAGCGTGGAGGTGGAACAAATTCTCAAGATAGTATTGGAGAGACAGGTGTACTCCATTGAAAATGGTGCTAATGAAGTTGAATGCGGAGAATTGCTTTGTTTCTGGGCAATTCCGGGCAATTTTGGACAAAAGTGCAAAACTCTGGTAGGTGGAAGCTTGTGTAATTTGACGGGTTTTGTTTTTGGAGTGCCTTTGGGATTAAATGTTATGATTACAATCACCACTTCTGTGATCAATTCTACTAATTCTTCTAATGTTACCAATTCTAGTTTGAACAATACTAGCAATACCATGCCAATCAATTCTAATAACTTGGTTAGTCTTCACTTTTGTTATGATCTCCTTTGATCATGTATCATAACACTTACAGGTTTTTATTGTGGTCTTGTTAGTCTACCGCTGGGGCTTTGGCCAAGTTGATTAGATCAATTATTTCTGCTCCTCTGTTTGAAATGATGTCTTTATTTTTGACTATCCTCATTTTGTGTTAGGATGATCATCATATTCTCTCTTTCTTCTTTCTCTCCCTCTCTCTCTCTTACCAACACTTTCATTTTTATTGAAATCTTTGAATTCCATTTCTCCTTTTCAAAAATCTGATTTTGCCTTTTTGTATTAGTACTTTTGTTCTTCTGACCATTGAAAATTAATTGAGTATCTGAGTAACTTATTCTTTGATTGGTTCAGAGAAGATGTTGAATGAGATTTTTAGTTATGTCATGTGCCTTTTAAAACAAGCTTCTTTGGTGTAAGAGATATAAGGAAGGTAGGAAATAATGTTTTACTACCATCAGCACCAGAAACTAATTGTACAATGTCCAATAATATATTTCCTCACAGCCAAGTAAGTTTAGCTTAATTTATCAAAGATGAATATTTCCTCAAAAAAAAAGAAGAAGAGGGATTTGTGATTGATATCAATGATCTGGTTCATGAAGTCTAAGACTCTCATTTGAAAGTTCTTCACTTAGGTTTGGTAATCTCAGTTTTTGACATCCTCTTTTTGATGTTTTGAAAAGTATTGATTGGATCAAGATATGCCTTTTTAGATGAGTTACTGCCGGAGATAATATATGTTGATCTAGCTCAGATGATGTGTAATAATCCTTTTGTATGATTATTTTTGAAGTAGAAAATTTCATACCAAATAAGATTGTTTGCAAAATTTGTGGTGAGACTTTGTTTGTACTAATGATGAAGAAACTATATCCCCCAAATGACCAGTCAGAGAACCAAGTCGGAGGCAATATTGAAACTAGTGACCGGCTCTTGGTGTAGGTTAAAAGGTGTGGGTGCATTAGTTGTTGAGGCTGAGCTACAAGCTCATTATCCACTGACCCCTGAATTGAATCCTCAGACCACTTTGGCTTGAAGTGAAGTGGATTGGACCTATTTCCTAAGTGTTTTTCAATGCTCAATGAAATGTCTTCTATCAAACCCAGTGGTCCTGCAGGCAATTTGGATCCTTATGACCTATTGCAGATTAATCATAATGTAACAAAGGTGCCTTCTTCTACCTCATGCTGTGATCTTGATAATTGCAACCTGCAAGTGTACTTTCCCCCCTGGCCTTTTCACCCTCTTTCGCCAAATTCCAGCAATACTTGAATTCTCTGAAAGGATACCACATGAGGTTAAACTTTGCTACATAGCAAGGTCTCAGAATGCAATATACCATCCTGAGCAAATAAAAAGAAGCCACTGGATGATTTTGGAATATCAATTCTCATCTGCAGCTCTACTACTGAACTAGCTCCAGCAAGTCTGGCTCGCAGGGCAGACAGTAGCGCGGAGCGCTGCGCTTGGCGCTATCGCCTCCCAGCCCGGGACCCGCAGGGTCCGGGTAGCTACGCTGCGCGCCGCCATTTTGGCCCCGGGAATTTTACCGCCACGCCTTTTGCCGCTCAATCGGAGATCATACAGGTCTTGCTACTTTACCCTTCAGCCACCATCTGTATTGGTTTTCGATCCCAACAGCCACCTTTCCAATCTTTCATCTTGGATTCAATCACCACCTCACCTTGGATTTGATCACCACCCAGCCAAAATTAAGCATTATCAATTTATCACATCAAATCTCAAAGTATTCAAAGACAGCAATTCCATTTGGCGTCCGGTCATGGTGCCGGTGTAGAACTCCTGCGCAGTGTAGCGTAGGCTGAGCCGGAGAAGGTAAGAATCACCGTCAAGGAGGACAGATGATACTACAGTGCTGTGGAGCTGCCTTCAACCTGAAAAAAATTCTACGTAGGACGATTTTTGACACTTCCGCCTTTACAGCTTTTACCCGTAACCCTAATTTTCCCCGTACAATGATATTCAAACTTTCCAAACCCTATTTATCCCTCCACAACTGAGACACACACAAATTTAAAAAAACAACTTAAAAAAACACAGCTTTTCCTGGAATTGAACCCAGGTTCAGTCCTTTTCCCCGGCCCTGACTTGGCCCTGACTCCAATCTATTATTTCTTCAAAATAAAATAAAAAATAAAATAAAATTGATAACTAACAACCCTTATACCACTTCACTTCAATAATAAAACTATCCCTTCAATACTCAACGATCTGAAATCATCAACGTAAGTCTTTCTTTTTCCTTTCTTTAAGCTTATAACACTAACTAAACTAACTCCCAATATAATCCTATCACTTTTAATACTAGGAACTCCACTTTATCACTTCTAGATCAATCACTTGATCACAAAACACTAACAAAACTCGAAAAAATACACTTAAACACTCGATCCTACACAATGCGATGAGCTCCTCCCTCAGACCAACACAAACAGATAGGCCCTTTTATATCTTCCAGCTTCCAATCTCGGACCCATTCTTCCCATTTCACTCGACCGATTCATTCATTTGCTCTCTCTCCGACCGATTCCTTCCGTTCTCTTTTCACTATCTCCTTCCACCTTTTCAAACCTCTACTCAAAAGGTTTATTTGTCCTTTTAGCCCCTATTCGACTCGATCATTTGGTTTTAAAACCAAGGTAAGTTGATTTTGTTTTGTTTCATTTTCTTCTTTGATTTTGTTTACTGACTTCTTATCTTTGATTTAGATCGGTTACTCCATCAAGACCTTCGATTTCATCATAATTTGTAACAATCTCGGTTTTAAATCAATCCTCAAGTTCCTTTGATTCAGTTCCGTTACCTCTGATTGCTACTGATCGATCTACTTCATATTTATGTAAGTTTTCATTTTCTTTATCACTGTTATCTTGTCATCCTTTCTTTTTAACTCTTCTCTACTACTAATACTAACTATTGTTTATCTTTGTTTTTTCTTCTTTTGTTTTATTGAAGCTTTTCACCCGCCCGATTCTTTTCTTTTCTATACTTTGATTTCATTCTCTTTTTCTTTCTTTTTTTATTTGTCTTTTGTTTATTTTATCTTCTCTTGACTGTTAGATGGCTGTATAGTAGTTATAAACAGTCTAAGTGTAAATTTGGGTTGAATAAAAAAATAAAATCTGTTGATATTGAAATTGAATAACATGATCAATAGTAACATGATCACCCAAGGTTGCGAGTGAGTCTAAACCCAAGTTAGTGAGATTGATGGATATAAAAGAGGCAGAGGAAAGCAGCTTTTGCTTTCCACATCCTCCCCCAACTTACTATTTGTCTCGAATAGATTTTCTTAAATTCTCGCTTTTCTCAATCGATCTATTCAGTTTTAAAACTTCGAGTTGATCCTTTATTTCAGTTCTAATCTACCCTTATCCAGTCAATCCATCCCATCACCGAGACCATTCCCCTTACCTTGTAGCCTTATTTTGATTACATTACTTGGTGTGTTACTTTTAAAACCACCAGTCACACTCCATTCCGTTCACTAATCGTTCGATCCCTTTTATTTCTTTCTTTATTAATCTCTACAGTGCAATTATTATTATTTTTTTCCGTGCTACAGATACTGTTCGTGTTAAAAACTTGGTTGACTATTATCTAAATCAAGGTTTGTTAGATTTACTGAACTCTTTGCTCTGTTTTGAGTCGTACATATGCTAATATTGCTTCTATCCTCCATTCTTGGTATCTGCTTTTGATTTTGCTTGTTGGTTTCCACCCAGGTATGTTCTTTTCAGCTTTAATCTCCCTCTTTCTTTGACTAACTCATATGTTTTCTGACATTGTTGTTTTATGATGTATATAGTGTAATACAATGGTACCTTACAAGCCTCATCCCACAAAGTGTGCTTGCTGCCCAGAGGATGATATCTCTTGCTCCTGGATTGTCTATGATTCCGCTCCTTGCTCAACTTGTTTACCTCCTCCTCTTGAAAGTTGTGACCAATGTGCCAAACGTGGCAGATTCTGCGGTAAGTCCCTGTTTGCTTTTTTCTCTTTATAACCTTGATTGTTACTGATGTCCTTTAATATTTTTGTTTGTATTATCCCTGTGTCTTCTTCCCCTCTCTCTTAACAAGCCTGCTGATCCTAATTTGCATTTAAAGTGGAAGGAAGACGTTCGAATGTGGAACAATTGGGGAAACGCTCCTCTTAATTTCACCCCAAACTCTAGTTCCTCTAATGCTAAACCTCACTATGATCCTTATCCTAAGCCACCAAAGTGTAAGCCTCACACGCCCAATCAACCACCTCCTCGAGCCTCACCTCCAGCTCTCAACCCTTTTGTTACATCTTTTGTACCAACTCGACCAAAATCACCTCCCATCAAAGTTGAAGACCCTCCTCCTACTTTTTCTTCCAATGCTATTAATGTAGAATCTACCAATGTTGTTGATTTAGAACCAGAACCTGTTCCAAAAACCACTAACCCTGTTGAACCACCCCTAGATGCCGTGATTGAAGAATGTATTAAAAAATATGGTGATAAAGCTGTTCTTTTCTGGTTTGCTAAAAAAGTAGATTTATCTGAAGAAATTAGACATGTAGGTAGATATGTTCCTTCTTCTTCCTCCGCCGATACCATTGCTAGTCTTACTCAACGTATGGTAGAAAGCTTGTATGAACATTGGTCCGTCTTTGATCCTAACTCTGAAAAAGAGGTCCACGCTAGAGTCTGTCTTGTTCAAAGGTTGAAATCTCTTGTTGCTCATTTTATCATGCATCCGCCTTCTTCTGAACCTTCTAATCCTAGTACTTCTTCTTCTGGCAAGGGTAAAAAGCGTGCTTTCCATTAGGAATTTGTATTGTTTTTCTTTTGTTGTATTTCTAGGACTTGTCTACTTATGTTGTACTTTTACCGTTCTTTGCCGCTTCTTGACTTGTGACTTGTGTTTCGGTTTCTCGTGAAATATTAAATCCAAAAAAATCTTATGTATAATGTTGTAGTAGGAAAATCTCTTAGAAAAAATTGTGAATAATAATAAAGAACCAATTCATTGGAATGATCACGAGTTGCCTTTTTGACTTTCACTCTTTAAATTCTTGATCCACCTCCCCCAACTTAGATGAAAACCGCTATGCCCACTATTATTTGATTTATACGACACATTTCAAACCGTAACCTTCCACGTCATACTAAATTAAACTATTCCACCAACTCCTTTCCGTCCACTTGTAACTATACTTATTTGATTTGTTGTCCATAATTCTTATTCCCGTAATTCAACCTACTAACTGAACCAATCCCCAAATAACCTCTAAACTAGGCCTTGACACTAATGTAATGCGCACCGGAGTCTGTCCCGGATACTACTCGTACTATATTGCAAGAATATATGTATCAACTACCTTCAAAATTTTAAGCTATAAGTAAATATCCCAGAGTCGTGTTATCTTTTAATCCCTTACTAAGTTTCCAGTCCCTTATCAAAACCCGTCTACACCTCAGAAAAAAATTTCCATAATAGTAATCATCATCGCTGTCCTACGCAATCCAACCTCCTCATACACTCATACCACTTGTCCGCAACCCGTACCAAAGAAAGAAAATAAGAAAAGATCATGCTGTAGTAGTAACCATTTTATATATATAATTGTACTGTGACTTTGTTGCCGCTTTGATTGATTTGTTGATAATGTGCAGCCTCTCCCCAAACCCCCTACTACAGTCTTTAATTGATGTAAGTTAATTTAATTTGATAACTTTGATTTGATAAAATTTGTAACACTATATCCTAATACCAGCCAGCTAATCCACCATCCTCAACTACCAATCCCGTCCCCTTAGAAAAGAAAAAATAGAAAAGAGAAACATAACCCACACTCCGCCAAACCATTTTGATAGTAAAAGTGTTGTGATTTAAAAGTTTCTACGCGAAATTATTTTTGATGTACTATTGAATGTAACTTATTTTAATAATTGATATTTGATTGATTGATTTTATTTTCCTTATTGTAATTTTGTTTTGATTGTATGTAATTTAATTCTGATTCATTTTGACTATCCGTACCCGCCATCTATCCTCCATCCTCGTCAACCTATACCAAACACCACCGGAAAAATAAAAGAAACTGATAAAGAGAAACTTGATTTAAAATAACCATAACTAAAGAAAAAAAGAGAAAATTGTGAAAATTGTTTATAGCAGTGATCCATTAATGTTTTTTTTTTAGGTTGACTGATTGTTGAATTTAATTTTGTAACTTATACCCATCCTGTGCCCCCTGCTATTGATTTGATAATTTGAAGTATATATAGAAAAAAAAAGAGAAGAAAGAAAGAAAGAAAATTGATTTTAAGTAGTACGAGGTACTGGGCGGCCAGCCACCCATAGGTAGTGGGTGGCCCGCCACCCCTTGGCACTAGCAGAGCCTTAGAGCAATGAGCCCGGCAGGAGTAGCACCGATCTAGTTTCGCAGTTCATGGTATACCCACGCCGTTCAGTACAATGTTCTTAATAATTACATCTATCAATTGCCCACTCTTTGTCCCTGTATACCGCACCCTGCGTGCATACGAATACCGGCCCCGGCAAGTCTACCCAGCCCGTCGATACTCGGAAAGTCTTACTATCCACCTCCCGCCTTGCCCCAACACATTTACCACCGCACCCTCCAACCACAGTACACTACCAATATCTCCTCGACCCTCCCCAATCCCTGTCAGCTCTGAAGAATCATACATATAATTCACAAAAAATTCTCTGAAAATGAGATGCTTTCACAACGAATCAGTCTTAAGCTAGGTTCTAAAAGACAGAACTTGTACTCACTTGCATATCCCACTCTCTGTGCATTACTTCGGCGAGCCTCCAATCGCCACCGTCCGACCCACTTTGGACCACTGCATCACTGAGCACCATGCCTTCGCCCCGGACGTTCAAACCAGTTCGTGGAGCTGTTGAAGAAAGGAGACTATTTGAGCCACAGGCGTCGTCTTCAATCATTAAGCGCGCTCGTCGATTCGGACCGCCTTGCACTACGATCCCTTCTAACTGCAACCTGCCCTCTAAGTTTTGACCACTTTCATTGCCCTCCTGCAACAGTAGGACAGGTACCGGCCCCTCGTCGCAGTTCAGGTGTACGGACGCATTGTAAGCTTTCCTGTGGCTGATACATGTATCATGCTAATGACGCGATGGAGAGAGTCAGTAAGAGTCACGAAGTAGAGCTACTGGGACTGACATTCGGTTCGACTTGCAAAAACCCACTCCATCGAAGTGTCAGCCTCGAATAAGCATTAAGACCAGCGCCACGTTTGAGGTATTGGATGATTGGAAAGGACTCTGACGATTGCATTATGTTGGTCTAGTTGCGTACAATTGTTGTTGATGATGGCGCAGACCCAGCAGGAAGGCGACTTCCAGCCATTTATAAGTTCTTCGCTTCACCCCAACTCCTCGAATCTGGGTGCGTCGATTCTTCAACCGGAATACGTCCAACTTTGCTGGATCGCTGCCGCCCATTTCCTGGACTGGCGAAATGTTCGTGTGTAGCGCCAGCCAAATCGATCCTGGGCCAAGTTCGAGTACCAGTTCGTCTAGCCACCCTGCACCAGCTCAGCATATATAGTCTGCAGCATCACTAAGGCCTCGGGCACCGCCTTCTGAACCACGACCCGCAACTACCACACCACCTTTAAACTGCTATGGAGCCACGATATCTTCCCATACACTTCCAGGCTTTGCTGACGTTAGGTGACAGAGTAAGTCTTATGGAATTCGACAGGGTATGCATACGCTGACGGGTTCATTACTTAGATACATCCACAACGCACACGCATTCATTCACTCGGTCAATACCAAAGCGGCATCACGACAAGGTTAGCTGGCCTTCATCTGGCTCCGATCCGGGTAATAGAGACTTCGCCAGGCCAACTGGAGAGCCAGAGCCTCTATTATGGCCACGGTCGGATAATCCTTTCGCCCGGCGATCGCTGGTCGTCCTTACATACGGATGAAGCCGTATTGGTTCGTAGTACTCAAGCGCCTGGTACCCTTGGAACAGCCATAGATGCTACCCTGGTCACCAGCATCGGTAGGGTCGAGGAATGTCACTACTCAACTCATGTCAAACGATGGGTCGTGACAGTTGTACACCGTGACTGGGATCCCACCGTGAGTTGCCGTCATGTGGTTCTTGCGTTGGTTCTAACACGCTTCGCTCGTAGTTTTTTAGCACTGTGTCTTTTACCGTCGAGTATACCCTCGGCCACGATAAAATGGTAGCAATAGGAATTGATATGTTCCAGATTGGACGTGTTCTCACTTTCAATGGTGACGTGATTGGACAATCAAGCCCACAACAAAGGTGGATTATCAACGTAAGCGGTTCCACATCTAACCTACATTGCACAACTAACGTATTTCGGGCCCAGTTGACCGGAGCAGGACCGATTCCACTATGACTCCAACACCTGTGCCATCGGCGTTTGGTCCCTTAGCTCGGACACAGTATTCAGCTATCGTGCTAATTCATTTTATACCGCGCGCAAATTATTCTAGAGCCAAGTCCAACAGGCCAACTGAGCTATACGTTTTAACTGTGGTTCACAGATGATTTTCCCATAGAGGAACTTTTTTCAGAGGAAAAGCCAAGTGCAAGACTCACCCACGAAACTCGACAAGTAGCCTACTCTTTTTGCATTGAGGATCTTCATGGAGTAACTCTCAGGCACAGTGTGTAGCTAGCGCGCTTATGCAATATATATAAATTCTTCTCATGTCAAGTTCCATAGGCGCACAGGGCTATACGTTCTCACTGCGGTTCACCCACGATCCTCTCACAGAGGATCTTCCTTGAGAGCAAAAGCCAAGTGAAGGAATGTTGCACAAAGCTCCAAACCATGTCCCTTTTCATCAAGTATTTTTATCAAGCAACTGTGAAATCTGTTCGAGTTGTGCATGCGTTGCCACATTGGCATTGTAAAGCATAAACAGCTGACCGCGATTCGACTTCCATTTCAACGGGGGGCAGCAAGGGCAAGGTCCATGCTGTACATGTCGTCCGCGAGTGCCTTCAAATAGCATTGACCATAGTGTCCTGCCATGATCCTAGACGGTAGCGGTAGGTGTCACCTGAGAATTCGAATGGCCCAACAGCAATGGTGTCAACTCACTTCCCCCTCACCACCCAACTCTAGCATCTCACGATCTCCCTCCAGTTATCAATGGCAGCCTCTACTGATCCCCGTATGAATGTGACCTTCAGTGGTGTTTTTCGACTCGATGGAGACGTGAGTGCGCCATTGTTTGACCGTCGTCTCTGGTTCCGTCTTGCTGACTCTTGATGCGTACGTAGATACCGGGTCGTGTATCGGGCGATGGTTCTCAGCAATGGTTCCAAAGTCCCGTATATTTACCGATGAACGGTCGTTGGAATCGTGAAGTCTTTGTACTATTTGAGCAAGCGTCGGCCCCACTCGTCCCACCTCGTCCCATGTGGCTTACTGCTGAGATCCTTCCCAGAAGTCAAGTGCGCGATACACTTGTTAGGGTTCAGGCCGGGTTTGCCATTGAACTTGAACACTACATCGCACAATTACCAGCGCCTCGCCCAGTCTTAACGGTCCACAGCAGAGGACACGTAGTGCGATTCACCCGGCAGAACTTCGACCGCTGGATTGTCGTGGCCCTGCATAACGCTTCAGATGAAGGTGTAAGCCATACCTCCTTTAGCCTTGAGAATTTCGCTGACTCATTCTAGTCAGCGGCGGTCATCCACTTCAATGTGATAGACGAAGCGTCAGATGCGCTTATAGCTCAGATTGGGGCTCATGTGTTCCGGGTAGGCAACGTCGTGAGTTTCCAAGGTGTCGTTGGACAGTACCTTCGCCGTAGTGGTAAATGGGTTGTACAGGTATGTTTCACCCTTACTGTGATGTATGGTTCACTGACGATAAGCAGCTTAGGGCAGCACACTCGCAGGGCATGGTGAGGCGCACACAGTTCGCGCATAGTCGCCGAAATTCGCAATGATGCACTCTCAGGGTCGCACCCTTGGCTACGGCGAAGCGAGTCCAGCCCTCTCAATGGTGCAACATTCTTGACCACCACTTAGATACGAACGGGGAAACATTACCACGTAGGTCAGCTGCAGTCATTAGCGCTTCGCTGCCTATGGTAGTTCTCTTTGTCACAATGACCAGCACCTTCCACACACCGGCGCCGGTCCTTTTTGGTACCGTAATGTGAAGGAACAGCAATGAATGATTACATTATAAATAGTGCTGTTCTACAAATCTGATAACCCCATAGTTGTGACTGTGGCGAGGCCTTGTCATAGCGGATCTTTAAATGTCTGAGAGCGATGTAGAAATGGCGTAAAGGTTAATCAACTATTATGACGAACGTCTAAAGTACATTGAACGTACCCATTCAAACAATTGCATTTTTCGTGACTACATTGATAGTCATGGAAGGCGCCGTGCTGGCCAGTGAAACTGTTGTGCATTCCGCGGAAGTGCACCGGGAGAGGCCGACGTAAAGCTGGCCGTGAGCAAAGACCGGGGTCGGAAGGACCAGACATACATTTGCGACTGTCTGGCCTTGTGCCTTGTTGATCGTCATCGCATAAGCTAGCGTCACTGGAAATTGCGCCCGATGAAAAGCGATCGGTACCACGTGATCGCCAGGGTGTTGGAGTGTAATGCGCGGTAAAAAAATTTCTGCCCCGCTTCTGGGCCCCGTTATGATTCGGCACGACAGAGCGTTGTCAGAAAGTGCCAAGATTAACAACCTGGTACCGTTACACAGACCACGCTTGAGGTGAAGGTTTCTCAACAGGACAACGACGGAACCGACCTTTAGCACCAAGTCATGCTGCGGAAATCCGGCAAAGTTGAAAGTATTGAGAATATCAACGCTGACCTGCTCTGCCCAATCGGCCTCCATGGCGTCTACTGACTTGTACTGTTTAGCTGACCCACCTTGCTTCTTGAGTACATACTGACTGATTCTATCAACTGTTTTATTCAAGGGCGTAATGATGACTCTGGCTGAATACGTATTGGCTAACTCTTTCCAGGACCGCCGTTTGAGCAGAGGTACCGCGGCTGAGTAAAAGTCATCCACGACTTTTTTGTCAAAGGAAGAATTGATGTCAAACGGGACGATTTTAACGTATTCTAGCTGGATGAGTTCTACTGGATCATCTTGAAGTGCGCCTTCCCCGACACGTAGCAACCAGTCGGCAAAGCGACGGCGCTCTTCATCAGTCGTAGCACTTGCTTGGTGCAACCTCCACTGCCAGCATATTAACCTCGGATTGGAAAATCCGAGGCGTTCTCGGATCTGAAACCTCGGACAGAAGCTATCCAAGGTTTTGATCCGAGGTATTTTTGGGCGCATAATGATACCTCGGACAGAAACCTTGGATAAGATCTGTCCGAGGGATTTGCATCCAACGATACCTCGGATCTCCCGATCCGAGGCATCTATGTTGGTGGTGCTCATATTCGTGGTGAGCTTGAGCTGAGTCACGTTGATCCATAGGTAGGAGTTTTTGATGCAGGCCCGGACCGAGTCTTGTAGAGAGCCGTGTGGAATGACCGGTAAAATTTGGCGAAAGTCACCCAAAAAGAGGACCGTCAAGCCACCAAAAGGTGTGTCGCAACTGCGCAAGTCGCGCAAAGAACAGTCGACACACTCTACCGCATCTTTGTTCATCATAGATATCTCGTCCCAAACCATGAACATGGCACTTGCTAACAGTCTACCCGTATAGTCTGCGCTCGTGAAGTTGCAAGTGCTGGTGTCGTCCAAGGAGAGAGGAATCTTAAGGACGGAGTGAGCTGTTCCGCCATGTAGCAACAAAAGTGACGCTATACCTGAGGATGCCACCGCTACAAAAGGAAATCCATTCGTATTGCAATAATTGAGACAGGTATTCAACAGGTACGTCTTGCCAGAGCCCCCTGGGCCATCAGCGAAAACCATTCTGCCGGCGCCGGAAGTGATTGATGTCTCTAAAGTGCTGAATATTGCTAGTTGCTCCGGGGTTAGAGTCGAAATAGCCTGATTAAGGGCCTCAGCAGTCAGTGCTGGCGCAACAGTATCTTCCTCATCCGTTGTACCACCTCCAATTTCAAACAACAGCTGAAGGTCCACGTCCAATAGTCCCACCTCTGAGAGAGTTTTCCCCATTCCCAAAACACAACTTTCAATCAAGGAGAGGCCATAATTATAAAGCTGAGCAGTCGTGGGCCGGAGAGTAGGTGACACCAGAGCTAACTGATACTCGCAATCATTGCAGAGATCGTCAATATGGTCTTCCCATAAGCGTATTGGGTTGGATGGCGGGCTGTGGACCAGTATCAAAGCGAACATATCTCGAAGTTGCCGGCCTGTCTTCCATGCCGCCGCCTCGGTGAGGCAGGCGTCGAAGTGAGTATCGGAAAGGAGCAAACCTAGGGAGTCGGCGGCGCTGCGGTATGTTCGGTGTACTACGCCATCAACAGTTTTCAAGTCTTGAAATGAAGTAGGACCACGAATTGTGGTCGAGAGGAGTCTGAGGTAGTACTGCTCCCCATGAGAAGGGGCTGCAAAGTGCAGCCTGGACACCGCGATGGTGTTGTTAAGTCTGCGCAGCCAGGTTTTCTCGGACTTACACCACCAGTAGTATGTAGGCATATCACTGTAGAGCAGCGATCGAACGGGTATTTTTGTTCTAGGTATAAGGCCACCGTGCGAGCACACCACAAAAAATTTGGAGAGGGTTGTTTTGTTGGCCTGTCCTGATTCAACCTGATTTCGTAAACTTTGTGCGTTTTGAAAGTAAACCATGTGATGGTCCTCTAAGTGCAACATCAGACGTGTTATGGAAGGGTAGCGGCCCGATAGGTGATATTTGTAAAGTCTCCAAATGGCTGCACGCGATGAATTAGCTGTCGGAAAACAATGAGGAGTGTATTGCAGCAAGAAGCACGAACCTTCGGGAGAAGCTAGGGTACGGCCATCTACAAAATCGTTGGGCTCGTTATCGACCTCTAAACTGACCACACTACGATCGTGGCCCTTGGATATGTATTTGTATTGATATTTGATTGACTTCATACCGAGTGTTACCTCCACGTTGATATGACATTGAAATTTAAGTAATAAAAAAGCATTGTATGGTACTACATCCCGGTTGGTGTACCTATAACCGTTCTTCACGAAGAAACGACCATCGTCGGGCCGTCTGTAACTCGGGTAAGCCTCTTCGGTGATAGCAGTCTCGGCGGTAAAGTCCTTTGGATAACCGTACTTGCACTTGAATCCGTTCCAACAGGCCTTGCCTTCGTGGCAAGGGCCATGCAGCATGAACTGGGTTACATGCTCGAATAGATCTGGCGATTCCTGGCGATCTGGGAGAACGGCGCTGACGGCCAGATCGACGACGGCCGGCGTTCGGGGTGCAGTAGAAGCCTTGTTGATCAAAACGGCATGGTCGTGTGGATTCCCACGCTTTTGAAATTCAACCGTGTGCACATACAATATATTGTTGCCAAGGCGTCCTCGTTCAAAAATGTCTTCGTGCAGTTCTTGAAGTTTGAGGTGAAAAACTCGTGCAACCAGGTCCGGCCGGTTGTCTGACGTCTGGCCTGGCAGGAGAGCAGCCGTGATTTCTGGCCACTTTGGATTGGCTGTCATGGTAACGAAAAAACTGGGTGGGCCATAGAACTTCACTAAGGCCATAGCGTCGTGGTATAGCTCGTGCATTGCGCGTGGGCCACCGATGAAAGAAGATGGTAGGATAATTCGTTTCCCAACAGCCATGTCGTTGTTGGTCAAAGCTTCTGTAGCCCCCGTATATAGGGCTGCCCAAATTTTCTTTTGATTCATTTTGAAAAATTTCATTCTGGCATTTTCAACGCAGACGTACATATCGACTATGTACTCCTGCAGCAAGCGCCCACCGCGAAGAATAGGTGAAAAGACACCGGGCCGGGTGAAAAGAGTGTATGCCGCCCATTCAAGATTCAAAATTTTGCCGTCGAGCCCTGTGTAGAGCACTATTAACTTGGATCTAGCAGAATAGAAGCATGAAAACATACGTTTGCGAGTGAAGTGGCGGTAGTGCTCATCCCAACCATGGGATCCGTACATGAAAAATATAGGGTAGCGGAGGGAGAAGTAGTTGGTATTGAGTTCTGATATGCGTCACAGAGGACCATCGTGCAGCCTTAAGATGATGTCCCGGTCATGAGAACCTACATTGCCGTCCCCAGCAATAACCGCCGCCACTTCGTTGCAAGCAGGGAAATTGTATCGGTTAGGATTTCGTCCGCCGATGGGCATTGACTTGATCTTGATAGTTCTGACTGGATTGGTGGCTAGTATTTCCTCAGCGGATTTGTAAAGTTTAGCGAAAGGGTTGTGTCTGTAGAGGAATTGCTGGAAACGCTTGATGATGTCAGGGTCCAGACCTCCACCTGCTCGTAGATTGCGGTCATTAGCTGCGTCGTCACCTTGGTCGCCGTACATGAAGATTTGAGCAAATTTCCTAGGGACGCCGGGAGTAGGTAGAAGCAATCCTATTTTGTGCGTGAGCCGCCCTTTTATCTTGTACGTCCAGGCACCGCCGTTACCGGCCACACTGACGTCCTGTTTAGCGCCAGTTGAGGCAAATGAAAAAGAGTTGTTGTATCGACGGATGTCCTGCCTAAAGTCTTTTGATGCTGCAAAGGTCAAAGTTAGATGCGCCGATGGGAGAAGACGAAGTAGCACTTACTTCTGTCTTGGTCGGAGAGTAATCGCTGAACAAACTCTGGCGTGAGGGTGTTCTCATTATCGCTGCTGGGGAGCTTGACGGCACCTTGTTGACAGCAAGCAGCATAAGTAGCTGTGGGCGCTGTCTTAGTACCCGGCTGACGCTCGAGTTTCCAATGTAGCGCACCACAGTAAGCGCACGGGTCATCGCAAGGGCCAATATTGTACGGCAATTCGGAACCAAAGCGGCGTTTAATTGCAGCTTCCGTGTTCTCCAAAGCGTTTCTGATTGCTGGACCGTGGTTGACCATGTTCCTGTAACTATTAGCGGCAAAAGGAGAACGCATAGAAGTATTAGATATGATAGATCCCCGGGGAATGACCTGACCGTCGTAGTTACGTGCAGAGGAGTGAAATGAAGAATTACCACTTAGGTCCACCGTGGGAAATGATGGAAATACAATGACTGTTGCTATGAAGGGCTACTCAAGCCGAATGGGAAATGGCTAGTTGAGGTTGGAGAACAGCAGACTGTTTGAGATGGCCTGAGACAAATAAAGAACCGTTTGGTTGGTTAGCGAGGTGCGGTAGTTTGCAGGTTTTCGATGGGGGAACGAATGGTAGTAAGCTAGTTTGTTGGTCAGAAGTTGTTGAACGAAAAGGAGCCGCGCGCAGGTCGATCTTGTGTTGAAGTGGAGCAGGGTCAGAATGCAACTTTAGATTGAGAGTGGAGGAGTGAGAAAAATGGGGCGGAGAAAACGGCCGAAATAATGATATGCTGAGGGGAGCAAGTCGGTGGACGCTACGTAGAAGCCATGTTATAAACCGGAAGCGCCATATAACAGGATATGGTTTGGAAAGGCTAATACGTGGGCTGATTCACAACCAGACGTGTTACTGGGGCAGGTCGATAATAGTTGGCAATGCAGCCGACGCGGGCCATGACATTATGAGGTGAACTGCCTGGTTGGGCCAGGTTGAAATCGCGGCTAGACACACCGAAGGAGGCGGGTTGATTGTGTCTGTGGTGTAAAAAGCTCGAAATTTGCAGGAACGTTGATTACGTTTTGAGGTGAACTACCTGGCCTAGTCAGTTTTGAATAGCAGCTAGACACTCCGAACGCGATGTGTTGAGGGGTATATATGGTTTACAAACCCCGGGAACAGCGATAACGTCGAGTGATGGGACTGGCCAAGGCTGAATCATGATGTTTGAGAGCGCCGGGCCGTCGCGGTCGCCCATCATTGGGGTGCTGTGAGGGGTGTTCATAGAACGACAAAGTGTAACGGTCAAATTGCTATGTGTGGGTGCAGTGAGCGTTTGTGTATGGATGGGAAGTGGGTCAGCGTTATTATAACGCGAGGTGAGGCATTCAACTTATTCTATTGGCACTATAAACAATGAAGAGGAAAGCATGTCAACACTATATACAACAATGATGGGGAGCCAGACTTGTAGTGTACATTGAAAAGTGAAGGACATAACACGCAACAGAACCGGTAAACACAGGGGAGGGGAAATACATGTTACTTGTCGAGGTCCTCTTGACTATCTTCGTCGAGCTCTCCGTCATCCTCGTCAATTACTTCTTGAACAACTGGTGCTGGTTGAGGTAGAGTCTTTCCTTTCTTCGCTTTGGAGGGTGCTACCTTTTTAGCCGGGGCCTTCTTTGTAACCTTAGGGACTGGAGTTGTTGGCCATTCGGTCTCAGAGAGAAATTCTTCGTCGGCCTCAGGATCTGGGATATCTTGGGCGAGGCTAACAGCCTTGCCTTTTCCTTTGGTTTTAGGTCGGATCGATTTTGCTACGGGAGGGGTAGGGGTTTTGGGGACGTGTCTAGAGAAGAAGGTCAGTAAAAGTGAAGAAAAGGGTGCGAAGAAAGACTTACTTAGCTGGCCGGGTACGACGTCCTGTGCCAGGCGGCGAGTGCAGAGGAGTTTCAGCGACGGGTGCCTTTTGCTTGTTGCTTGAAGCCGCTGCACTGGAAGCAGGGTTGGAAGATGGGTCTGCAACGGCATTAGTTGGAGTAGCTGGAATCGGGATATGCCTAGAGGTTGGGGTCAGTATTGGTGATGCATGAGGTGTCATTAGACGTACTTAGCTGGCCGGATTCTACCAGCTGGGGTGACATGACCTGCTGGGTCGGTTTGTTTGCTAGTGATACCCTCGTTGCCGGTACAAGGGCTGACTGCGGTGACCTGAGTTGTAATTCATTGTCAGTTGGTGCAGCAATGTGAAGCAAAAGGTGTGGGTTGACTGACCTCAACAATCCAGTGGTTGTTGTCGCCATCCCAGTCCACGATGAAGCCAGAAATCAGGGTTTCTCGCCCAACCTGTACCAAATTTTGACTCTTCTCCATATTGCGTGTTGGACGAATGCAATACTCTATTTTGAAGTACTGGTTCTTGCGGATCTGAGACAGACATTAGCGTCAAAATTGATTACAAAAAGAAGGTGGGATACGGACCTGTGGCTGATAATCGATGTGCTTCATGACGAAGCATAAGGTGGACTTTGTATCGTCCTCGTCAGGCATAGTTCGGCGGCTAGAGACGATGCCGAGGCCGGAGAGCGCGGTGTTGTTGTGTAGAACACCGGTAAAAGTTTCACTTGTACCGACATAGATCTTGTGGTCGGCTTCATAATACATGTTGAAGTTGGCAGAGTCCCTGGACGGCAAGAATCGTGCCTTTGTACAGTAGCATTCACCTTCGTGGGGAACTTGCAAAGCAGAGCAGTAAGCGGTGAACTTGCCGTTGTATTCTTTCATGTTGTCGCCGTTCCAGCCGTTACAAGTGATTGCGACGGTAGTGGATCGGTAGGAATAATTACGGCTGTCTGAAGGCGGGTGCTGTGTAAAAGTATCAGTATTGGTGTAGTAGTGGAAAGAACATGAGTGTTACGGACCACTGCACTGTTTTCGACAACACCAGATATCATGACGACATGAGATTGTTTCAAGGGAATATTGGAGCTGGACATAGTAGCGAGCGGGAGATGAGGTTGTGAAGCGCGACGTGGTGGCGTTAAAATATGGGAAGAGATTGAGGTGGTAGAACAAATTTAGGTAGTTGATTGACAGATGATGAATGAGAAAAGGTGTTGAGATGGGGCATCTGGACCGAAGTAATGTTGGTATTTATATTTATAGTTTTGACTGAGTTGGGTTCGAGATGACCGAGTACTGATAGGCTGGAGCGAAATCAGATTGGACTGAATTATGGTGATTGGCAGTGACGGATAACGGATGTACAGTTGTAGAAAAAGTCCAGAGAGGATGGTCGAGACCAAGTCTGCTAGGCATCGATAGGGCAGATTGGGTAAGTTTATATTGGGAAGGAGGGAGGCGTAGCGATGCCCAGAGGGACTGGTTCGCTGTTCAACTGCGGAGTGGCAAAATCAGACTGGAGAATAGGTTATGTGTGGTTAGGACTGACGATGCGGATCGGCCTGGGGGTAGCCTATAGAAGTTTGGAATAAGGTTTAGTCGTACTTACGTCAGGCGTCAATGGAGAAAAGCTGGGGCGAATCAACGGTTGTAAAGGCTGAGAAATGAACGTGGTGTCGAGTAGAGGCGTATAGACAGTAAAGGTAAAGGAGGAGATTGTAATTAACGCTGGGTACTGGGTACTGTCGAGAGGGACATTTCTTTAAGTATATAGATTCCAAATCCAGCTTGATTGATTTGAATGTTGAATTTTGATTTGATGATTGTTGCGCCCGCCCCGTACCCACTACTTTTGTTGTTTGATTTTGATAACTCTCCATCCTGCCAACACCCACCATCCTCAACTATCCTATCCCACACCGCCAAAGATAAAAGAGAAAGTTATAATAAGAAAAAATCCACCGGACTACGCCCGCTTTAACACTAAATTCACCAATCCCATACAAATACTGTCCACCTTTAAAGAGAAACAAGGACAAAAAGAAAACAACCCAACATATACACACAAAACCAACACAAAAAGAAAAAACTTTGAAGAGAATTATTTTTATTTATCTTATCCTGAACTTCCCGCACTTGCTGATTCCTCCTCTTGAAAATCTTCCTGCACTGAAACCTCTGAAACCCCTCTTGGAAAAAATCTCTTGATATGTTCTGCTGCCACCCGCCTGCTTAACACTGTCCTGTCCAATTCTTCCAAAATATAAGATCCTCCCGGATATTGTTCCTTCACCCTATAAGGCCCATTCCACCTATCCTTGAATAATTTCCCCCATTGAGATTCCAAGCTTTTGTTATAAACTAAGACTAAATCCCCAGCCTCCAAAGCACCTCTTAACCTATGTGAGTTCTTCTTATCCCAATATATAACACCCTCCGTCCTTGTCTTCATCATCCTGTCATAAGCCTTCTTTAACATTTCATCCCTCTGTTCCAACTGCTCCACTCTTGCCATTAATAACTCCTCCCTGGTAGTAACTTTATCCCAATCCACTCCAAGAAAAGTCCCCGCCTCAACATTCACTGGTAAAATTGCCTTCTGATTAAAAAGAACTTCATAAGGTGAGAATCCAGTTGTCCTCTTAGTGGAAATCCTGTCTGAAAATAACACTAAAGGTAATTTCTCCGCCCACTTCCTTCCATCTTCACCGCACATTTTTACCAAGGTATTCTTCAACGGTTGCTGTCCCCGCTCTACCATTCCTTCACCTTGCGGCCAATAAGCAGTAGCCTCCCCCAACTTTGATCCTGATAAACTCGCTGCCTCTCTTAATTCTCCCTTAAATTCTGGCCTTCATCTACTGTAAAGCACTTCACCGCCCCATACCTCCAAATCCACTCCTTCAAAATAAAATCCGCCACCGCCTTTGAAGTTAGCTTTTGTAAAGGTTTTGCTTCCACCCATCCTGAAAGATCATCTCTTGCCACAATCAAGTACTTATATTTACTAGTCTTAATATGCACAGCATCTAGACTGACCCTTCCAAACACCGTAGCTTCCCCCGTAGCATGTCCTCTTTCCTTTTGAGTATTGGGACTTCTTCTTTGACAAGCTTCACAAGACATCACCTATCTTCTCACGTCTTCCTTCATCACCGGCCACCAAAACCTAACCAAACACCTTCTATAAGTTTCTTCTACGCCTCTATGTCCCATTTCTTCATGTAATCTTACACTATCTCTTGACCTTCTTTTCTTGACACTGCCAATCTTCCGCAAGGTATTCCCCTCTTCTTTAATCTTCCACGCTCCATAAAGAAAGTCTTTGACCTATGTTGTATCCATTGGAAATCTTCATCAGAACAATTTGAAGGCCTATGAAAACTCTTTAGATATTCTTCAAGTGTCGCCCATAATCCTTCTTGAGTCCAAGGTATCATTTCATTATTATCATCAATAGTAAAAACTGGGAAACCCTCATGTGGCGTAATATCATCCTTTTCTTCATCGAAATCTTCTCCCTCGGATGTTGAATCTTCCCCAACTGGTCTTCGTGAAAGTCCATCTGGCATCCCAAAACTCTGCCCTGCCTTATGAACAATATCGAAGGAAAATTATTGAATAAATGCCACCCATCTAGTCATTGGTGCATTTGGTAAAGTTGGTCTGTTGATCATTTCTACCAAAGACTTTGCATCTACCTGAAGCTCAAAGTGTTGTCCCCACAATTTGCTTTGAAATTTCTTAAGTATTCTTGCAACGCCACATAGTTCTAGTTTGGGTTGAGAATATCTTGCTTCTACCGGTGAAAACACCCATGATTCGTAGAACACCGGCCTTGCCTTCCCTTGCTTATCTTCTTGCATCAATACACCTCCTGCCGCCATTTGACTTGAGTCTACCGCCAATATAATCTTGCCTGCGCCTTCCCCATATTCCAATCCCTTCAACATAATCTCTTCACCAATAATTTGTTTCAGCTTATCCAAAGCTTCCTGACACTCTTCATTCCAATCCCATTCCACATCTTTCCTAGTCAACCTTCTCATAGGTGCTGCAATCTTAGAGAAATCCTTAATGAACATCCTCACATATATGCACATTCCGAGAAATCCCAAAACCTCTGTAGTGTTTCTAGGAACCAGCCAATTCTGAATCTTGTTCTTCTTCTTCTTTGATATTGTCCTTCCCTCCTTACAGACCACATGTCCCACAATCTCCAATGCTGGCACACAAACTGCAAACTTCTTTCCTGAAACTGTAAGTCCCGCCTCTTCAATGCTAAACAAAACTCTTTCTAAAGTAACCGCATATTCCCATCTGAAACGCCTAATGCCGGGATTTTCTTCCTGCACCGCATTGCCGTAGGTAGAATCAGGACCTTCGATTCCACCGTCATCAATGAAGATACCTACGTTCTGTGG